ATCTTAGTAACACCTGGACCCCGCCTTAACAGTACGTTTTGCCTTATTGACTTAAAAAGGAATAAAATGAACAAGTAAAGAGTTAAGTCTTCACACTCCAATTCATGGTCTAATTCTTCAAAGGGTCCACACGTCTTCAATTTTCCCTTCACATTTTTAGGGATCATACACCATTGGTAAACCAAATCCCACTACAAAATGTGCTATTTTGTGACGAAAATCCTCTTAATGAAACAAAATGTTGCCTCAGATCATTTTTCATGACGGAAACCGTCAGCAGTTGATTTCGTCGCAGGGCAACCCCCTTGGTAATTTTGGTAATGTTCCGGCCTGATTTTAGGCGATGCTTTTGGACGTCTCAATTCATTTCCATTTTTCGTGACAGGTTTAAGTGTTGCCTAAAATGATATAAGGGTTAGTTCTCGGCAACAAAAAAGATGTCCAAGGGGTTGAAATGCGTGATCTTGGATTTTGTTTGCCATGGCAAAGTTTTAGACATGTTAAAGTCACATTTGTTTTCCCTATGACTTAAGTTGCTCAAACTGAAATCTAGTGATTCCTTTTCGTACATGCTCACGTTGATTCTGTCAATACTGTGGTCTGACATTTCTATATTTTTTTAGTACTACCTCCATTCCATAATATAGTGTGCCCGCACTTCTCGAGATCCAAGTTTGACTCTAAATTTAACCAACGAGACCAATTGCGGCAGGGGCAAAAATTATATCGCTGAATTCATATAAAAAATACGAATTCAGTGGTATAATTTTCACTCCCGCCGCGGTCGGTCTTGTTGGTTAAATTTACGTTCAAACTTGAATCTGGGGAAACGCGGGCGCACTACATTGTGGAATTGAGGGAGTATTTAACAATTGTGTATCACGGTCATTTTCATAGGAAACAACTAACTTCCTTAACATACCATAATATAATGCATGCCACAGTTCACCAAAATCTCATGACAGAAGGATGGCTAGAAAGTAGTATTTTTTTTTTGGAAACTGCATCTAAACGATGCATGCAGTCATCTTATTAAAAAATCTTAAAGTAGCACAAAGTCATAAAAAAATTAGAAAGTACTTAATTAGTGTACGCGTACAGCATAGCAACATGATATTCGATAGCACATCTATGAACGGACATCTTGTCTTTATAGTGCATAATTAGATATAGTACAACAAACATTTGATACATCAGCACGTGTTTGCCAATAGTAAAGGTCAACAAACATTTGGTAAATGGAATGCACGTACAGATGCCATTTTTTGAAAATTTTGATATTTTATTTGCATTTTGCTGGGTTCATATGAATTTTCAAAGTAATGGTCAAATAACTTTAACTAGACGAAAGGGCATTTGGGCGACCTAAAATGCCTTTTGGGCAAAATTTGAGCACAACGGGTCACAGTTTCTTGCCACTGACTAGAGGCGCTCTTTTTTAAGCGAAAAAAGATCTCAAAGAACCCAGCTGAACTGTACACGGAACATAGGTACAGAACATAGTTCACTACGTACGCTGTATACCCCATGCCCCCTCCCTCATCACCCACAAAACTGTTGCAGAGTCCTCCGCACAGAATCAAAGCATCACTTAAACGACCTACGTGCTGGGTCCTGAATCCACTCGATAGCACTGCAACTTGCCGAGGAAGATGCGCTGTACTACATTTGATGGTTAGCATCCGCCGATTCAGCAATCCCGTGAGATATCTCACGGGGAAGCACAGTTTCTTGTCGATCGGCCTCTCGGGATCCAATCTGATCTCTGCGAGCGTTGCATGCATGCGTATGAAGAACCAAAACTGCATTATTAGGACGCTCTGGATCAGTATGGAAGGGTCCAAGGTATGCCCCAGCAGCTGGTACAGTGTGGAGAGTGAGAAGGTGGCGAGCTTCGTCTGCAATCTGCATCGCCATGAGCGGACAAGGCGCCCGTGACCTGCCTTCCTTTGGAGCTGGTAGATGGAGAGGCTAGGCCTGGCTGTGTTGATTGTGATAGATTAATCGACCCGTCCATGAGATTAGCATGGTTTATTAGTAGGGACGACAAGACGGGCAATCTATAGTGGACGGCTTAACGACGAAAGCAAGCACACAATAGGATGATCCCTGGTTTCCTGATGAAGCGATGAGTCTGTCCGTAGCCGTGGAAGGATGCTTGTCATGCATGAATTAATGGATGGATGGATGGATGATGTGCTTGTGAGATGTTCTGCGTCTTTGTTAATAGTGCTGTATTGGCAGCTCAGGTGTCGATGTCAAAGTTAGTATTAAGTTGATCATTCTGCTTGTCGGAAGAGTTGAACTGAACCTACGGATTGTGGATGCGGTCGACTGGCCGGTAACTGTTTAGGATTGCAGTATGAAAAGCTGGCCGGTGAAAACATTTGTACACTTTGTAAGCTTTTGGCTGCTAGCTGGTGCACGTCGCGTACACGCTTTGTGTCATCACATGCCAGGCCAATTCATGTGATCCTTGAGCATCATCCGATCGAATCACGTGCAGCTGATCGATCCAGTACAATAGTAGAGTGGCGCGAGCTGTGCCTTGTACTGTCGGCTCAGGGAATGAGCAGTGCGGCGAGTGGATCCGTTCTAATCTCAGCTGAGGAATATTTGATCGACGACAATGTGCAAGATAGTAAGTATATTATGTGCCCATTACAACATCTACAGCCGGGCGTCCTCGAACCCTCCTCAAACGACTTGGACGGGCGCCACGGTTACTGATTGGTCAAAAAGTCCAATTTAGATGAACCGGCTTTAAACGCCCGGCTGACGGGCATTCCTTATATAGGTAAAATATGGGACAGATATAGGGTGGCCTGGGCGTGATCGGACGCGTCCGCCATGTTGGACCCAGCTCATACTAGCTTACCCGACTCACATATATTCGTTGACATCCAATTCTCGAACCAAATCCTAGTCACTTCACTTCACTCCCTACCACTCCACTCTCTCAACCAAGCTCTCGTCCGGCAATCTCCGGCCTTCTTCAACATGACGGGCAGCGGATCCGAGTCCTACACCTTGAGATCCATTGATCTGGAGCTCGTTCCATGCGGCCTCTAGGAGGAGATGACCGTTCATCTTGCGCTCCGCCGTTTCTGGGAGGAGGCCGCCCAACGGCAGCACTCGGTACTCCTTTCGTCGGGAATCCATTGCATCCGCTCAAATGGCGCATGGATCCGACATGAGGTGTGTTGCCACTACATCACCAAAGGCGGTGCGATCTCTTTGGCGTCTGGACGCGGCGGCGGATGCGCAACCGCTTCGTTGGCGCGCTGAGGCGGAGGTGAACACATGGACGTCGTCCGACGCAAATATGGCGCTGCGTGCCCACTATGCAAGCCAGCGGGTGTGGGAGGCGACCACAGCCCTCGCGGCGGTGGACATTGTTGAGGTGGTGTCACATTCTTCAGCACCCCATATGATGCACGACCAGTCCGGGCGCCGCAACCGCGTCATGGTGGACGTCACCAGCTCCTTCCACGACGGATCCATCATCGATCTCACGTCCACCAGCGCTCCGGACTCCGACAAAAAAGAGTAGGACATGGGAGACGGCGGCGCCTTGAGTCTGCGAGCCGGTGTGTGTGTCACATGTCCTACTCTACCTCGCCGGCTATCGAAGCAACACTTCAAGGGCCGCAGCCAGCCGCCAGACATGACGAAGCAACACATACTGATTCCTTAATTGGGATTTCATGTTGCATGTAATAATATGGATTTAAGATTTGTTAATTAAAATGTCCGATTATGGAAGAAATTATTTAAGACGGGTCACTGTTTGCGGGTGTTTGAGAGGTCAGATTGTTGTATGCAGGGTAGACGATCGTACGTGCAGCGCGAAGAGCAGCAGCAGAGTGATGATAACAAGATACACAGCCGATTCGATGGTAGCGCCGTGCCAGCTTGCTGCTAGGTGGTGGTCATTCGGCCGACGAGATGTGAATGTGACGAACCTTGTCCTCTTGTTGACCCGTGAGGACAAGCTGTCGACGAGGCCGTGTCACGCTGTCTGCGAGTTCCATGAAACCCGCGGATTCTAGAATACGGTGGTCATTTTACTTCCTTGCGCTGTAGTAAATCCGGTCGCATAAATCATCAACTAGACTACGGAGTAGATATGTAGAAAAACTCATGCAATATACGCGGTGGATTCCAGATTACCAGGGTTTACCATAGGGGGGATGGCATGATATGCATAGTTAAAAAGTCAATTGAACACAGTTGGTAGCTAGCTTCATCCGAAAGTCTTTTTTTTTTACAAAATTCAACATTTTTTTTAGGTTTTGCTATTTATAGGGTATCCAAACTTTTTGTTGCGTAAGTCATTTTTTCTTCTTCTTCATAAGCGTGTGATATCTCATCAGAAAAGAAGCAACCCCATTATCTATCTTTAAAATATGACGAGGGTGCAGTTTCACTGGGGAGCAGCAATCTCACTACCTATCTTAGGGGTGTGGGGTGCAGGGGGTCGCCGGAGTTGTTTCGCCGATGCGGGGCTTAGAGGAATGGCCGAGGCGTTGGCCAGCAATGGCAGTGAGAGGAGGTTGAGGGAATGGTGGAGCAAGGCGGTTCGCAGTAGTGCCCGCCGGCCACTGGTGGTGGAGGCCAGCTATTGGGGCTGGGCGGGCCGGGGGCGTGCGTGAGGAGGAAGAAGATGAATAGTATGTGGTATGTTTCAGGCCGTTGGATGAAGATCTGACGGTTCAAATGAGAACTGTCTAATGCAACACTTTTTTCAAGTGCACTCTCCCTTTTTTTAACTTTTTCATATATCTTTTTTAATAGTTTAATTTGAATTGTTTTTTTTTTGTTTGTAGATTTTGGAATCCAACTAATATCAAAATTTCAACAGGGACGGAAATGAAAATGCAAGCAAGGCCCCAAAATGTACAAACAAAAAGGCCAAAACCCCTATATAAACCCACGCCACACTCCTCACTCCCTCGCAGTGACCGACACTCTCCTAGCTCAAGCTAAGCTCCGCAGCCATGGCGGCCACCAGGTTGCCTCTCCTCCTCCTCCTCCTCGCCGCCACCGTCGCTGCGGCGGCCGACCTCTCCGTCTACCACAACGTCCACCCTCATTCCGCCTCCCCGCTCGAGTCCATCATCGCGCTCGCCCGCGACGACGACGCGCGCCTCCTCTTCCTCTCCTCCAAGGCCGCCTCCGCCGGCGCCGCCTCGGCGCCCGTCGCCTCCGGCCAGACCCCGCCCTCCTACGTGGTGCGCGCCGGGCTCGGCTCGCCGGCCCAGCCCATGCTCCTGGCCCTCGACACCAGCGCCGACGCCACCTGGGCGCACTGCTCCCCGTGCGGCACCTGCCCCGCCAGCAGCCTCTTCGTCCCGGCCAACTCCTCCTCCTACGCGCCCCTCCCCTGCTCCTCGTCCATGTGCCCCATCCTCCAGGGCCAGCCCTGCCCGGACCGGGACCCCTTCGACAGCGCGGCGCCGCTGCCGTCGTGCGCCTTCTCCAAGCCCTTCGCCGACGCCTCCTTCCAGGCGGCGCTGGCCAGCGACTGGCTGCATCTGGGCAAGGACTCCATCCCCAACTACGCGTTCGGGTGCGTGGGCTCGGTGAGCGGGCCGACGTCGAACCTCCCGAAGCAGGGCCTCCTGGGCCTGGGCCGGGGCCCCATGGCCCTGCTGTCCCAGGTCGGGAACATGTACAACGGCGTCTTCTCCTACTGCCTCCCGAGCTACAAGTCGTACTACTTCTCCGGGTCGCTCCGGCTGGGCGCCGCCGGGCAGCCCCGGGCGGCGCGGTACACGCCGATGCTGAGGAACCCGCACCGGTCGTCGCTCTACTACGTGAACGTGACGGGGCTGAGCGTGGGGCGGTCCCCGGTGAAGGTGCCGGCGGGGTCGTTCGCGTTCGACCCCAGCACGGGCGCGGGCACGGTGGTGGACTCCGGCACGGTGATCACGCGGTGGACGGCGCCCGTGTACGCGGCGCTGCGGGAGGAGTTCCGGCGGCACGTGGCGGCGCCGAGCGGGTACACGTCGCTGGGCGCGTTCGACACGTGCTTCAACACGGACGAGGTGGCGGCCGGGGGCGCGCCGGCCGTGACGATCCACATGGACGGCGGCGTGGACCTGGCGCTGCCGATGGAGAACACGCTGATCCACAGCAGCGCCACGCCGCTGGCGTGCCTGGCCATGGCGGAGGCGCCGCAGAACGTGAACGCCGTCGTCAACGTCGTCGCCAACCTGCAGCAGCAGAACCTCCGGGTCGTCTTCGACGTCGCCAACTCGCGCGTCGGCTTCGCCCGGGAGTCATGCAACTAGTTCATGCGGTTAATCGAATCATTAGCCATGCATTTGGGTGTGAATTTGTGATTGTTAATTTGCGGCTTAGTAATTTTCAGTGTGTGCAATAAGGAATGTGGCATCAAAGTTTGTCAGAACTAGAGAATTACTGTGCTGGTCGTCGTGACTATTTACTGGCGTGATGTGTGGTGCATTTAATTAAGGAACTTGTTTGTTTCGTTTGGCTGCTGCGCAAGGTGTACGTTCGAGACTTTCACGCTGCACATACGTACAAGTAGGGTTAATGCAAAAGCTGGCTCGTTTTGGAGTGTACTCACAGCCCGTGCTGCCAATCTGCACAGTGCCCAGACCAATGGGGCTTCCAAGCAAAGCTCAAAAAAAAAAAATTTGAAGCTTGAAGTTACTTGTTTTTTCATTGTTAAGTCTTTCATCAATGTGCAAAAGTTTCATGATGAGAAAACAATCGTGATGTTTTGAGCAAAAGTAATAAAATTGATGTTACAAAAAAAATTGAAAGCATTTTGGAGCACTTTTTGGTTGTCACACGCATTCTATCAAGTGCGTGAAAATAAGTAGAAAACTAGTAAACGTGTTGCCAAAAACCCAGTAATTTTTATTTTTGCCTTCAGATTTTCGCTGTTCATATCAGTGCTGTCTTTTATATTTTATCATGGGTAAAATTGTATTTGTCACAACATAAAACATAGTGAAATTGCATTTTTACTATCAAAATGTCCATTAGAAACATGCACTCGTGTTGCTAGAGCATTCTCCATGTGTTTTCTTATTTTTTATTTTTTATTTTTTATTTGTTTCGACAGCAGCCGTAATTTCCGACGTTGTTTTTATATTTTCAGAGATTGTTCGGAAAATATATATTTTGGAGTGGAGGGAAATAATTCTTTTCAGGAGTTTATTTTAGCAAATTTTGAGGAGGTTGAAAATAAATGTATACTCCGTAAACTAAAAAGAGAGCAGGCCGGGCCCGAGGAGTGACGCAGATTACTTTCCTCTCTGCTCCTGGGCTGCCCTCCAGTGGGCCACTTGGGCTCTCCTCGTTTTATTCCTTCGTTGCATTCCCGTGCGAACGCTTGATTCTTAAGCACTCGTCCCCTCCTCTCCACACCCAGAGGACAGAACCCCCAAAACCCTACGAGCAAGCCGCCGCCACCGCCACCGCCTCCGTGTCCCCGGCTACGATCTCCGGCCACCCTCCCGCGCGCACCTCCGGCCATGGCTGAACCCGAGGTAGCGGCCGCCGCAGCCGCGGCCATGGAGACCGAGGCCCCGGAGGCGAACCCTAGCCTGAAGAGGGAGCGGGAGGAAGGGGACGACTCCGGCCCGGTGGCTGCGGCCGAGGAGGCGGAGGAGGCGCCGGCCAAGAAGGCGAAGGTGGAGGAAGAGGCGAAGAAGGCGGAGGATGTCGCCGGGAACGGGGAGGAAGAGGGGGCCAAGGGTGAGGAAGGGAAGCCCGTCAAGCTGGGGCCCAAGGAGTTCGCCACGGCCGTCGACATGTTCGACTACTTCTTCGCGCTGCTCCACTCGTGGTCGCCGAACCTCGAGTTCAACAAGGTGAGACCGTCAGCGTTAGGATTCAGCCAATCGCTTGTGCCATGGTGATGTTATTGGTGTTGCGCCTATATTGTGATTTGCTATGAGTATTGCGTTTGTAGTCCGGTCCACGGTAGTCACAAGCTGGTAGGTTGATTTGATTAGCTGGGGGAGTTCGTGGTGCCTGGGCCTGCGTTAGGCAAATCGTTTTTTACATCGATTTGTTCCAAGTAAACTAACTAATTGTACTCGACAAATGCACTGTGAAGGTTACAAATTTGCAGTTGGTCAAGGTTGAACGAACTGGTTGTAAGTTGGATCTAATATTATGCCATGCGTAGACCTCACAGCTTCCTGATTTGACCCTTTACCTGTTTAGAGGTCTAGTTATTTACTTTCTAATGCAATTATGTATCCTGAAATGTTAGTTTACTAGGGTGGTAGCAACCTATTGGTTTGATTTGATTAATTTCAGTGTTCTAGTATACTTGGATTAAGCAAGGTTGATCTTCTACTTCCATTTACCTGTGTTTATTATTACTCCCTCCGCCCAAAAAAGTGACGCAGATTTAGTACTCCCTCCGTCCCAAAATTCTTGTCTTAGATTTGTCTAGATACGGATGTATCTAATACTAAAACATGACTTGATACATCCATATTTAAACAAATTTAAGACAAGAATTTTGGGACGGAGGGAGTACATAGTTAGTACAAAGTTGTACTAAATCAGCGACACTTATTTTGGGAGGGAGTGTGAATTATCATATATAGTGTTAGATTACACCTGCTAATTAAGGTCTTCTTTCTTTGACTGGGTTGTTTGGGTTTCCATATGACTTTTGTCATTCAGTGGTTTGTGGTTGTTTTTGGTGCATAAGTTGAATATTTTTTCATGGTGCTCTGCCCCAAGTGTGTGTAATAGTTTGTCTTTAGCGTTCATGGTCAGCGTTGATATCACAATCACAAGTTGATCTAGTCAAGACATTAACCTTCTCTTTCCATATGAGTTTTGTAATGAGTGTATATGTGGTTGTTTTTGGTGCATATGTTGATCTATTTTCATGGTGCTCTGCCTGAAGTGTATGTAAATAGTTTGTCTCTAGAGTTCATGGTTAGAGTTGATATCTCAATCACACTTAGATCCTGTCAAGACATGAAAACTCATTGGTTTTCTGGTTCCATACGAGGTTTGCTATTGGTTGGTTATCTCTTTTTTTCCGGTGCATCTTATTTGCCCTCCTCGCACAATGTTCTGTGTTCTGCTCCAAAATATTTTAGTCAGTTGAATTTAGTATTGCTGTCAATCAGGAGGATATATAGGCCATAAGCTGTGTTGTGTTGATCTGATCCTGCAGATTAAGGATTTGGCGTTAATATTGACTATGTAAAGTCATTGCGTGAATATTGTTAACATTCCTTCCAAGTTTGCAGTGCCTATGTGGTTATGCAATACTGGAGAGTGAACCTTTTGCTCTTTCTGCTGGGCATTGCTAGACTTATGAAAACTTGCGGTGCTTTGCTATGTAAACTTTATTACAGCTTAAGGATGGTATAAATGAAATAAATTTGACTTGTCTTCTATTGCGTTGGTGTAATCTTATTTAAATTTGATTTAGAAACTTTGAATTGGCTGGCCCAGATTGTGCTGCATATATTCATTTATCATATTGATATGTTGACGACTTCTTAGGATCATGTTACTTGATGCTTTTGATTTGCCTCTGGTGTATTGTATGCCCTTCAAGCTTTAGTTATTATCCAGATGAAAGTTTGTTATTGCATCTGGGCTGTGAAACAATGTAGGATTATGTTAGTTGATGCTTTTGAGTTGCCTCCAAGGTACTGTATGCCCTTCAAGCTTAGTTCTTATTATCCAGATGAAAGTTCGTTATTGGCATCTTCATTCGGACGCAGAGTGCTAACTTGAATATTACCTTTTACAGTACGAGCAGATGGTGTTGGAGGACCTGGTGAAGAAAGGCCACGCTGAGCCCGCCAAGAAGATTGGATCAGGCGTGGAAGCCTTTGAGATCCGCAACCACCCAGTGTGGCAGAGCCGCTGTTTCTTCATCCGCAGGGTTGATGGGTCCGCCGATGATTTCAGCTTCCGCAAGTGCGTCGACAACATACTCCCTCTCCCCGAGGACCTGAAGGCCGGCAACAAGAACTCAAATGGCAAGAAGGGTCACCACTTTAAGGGCAACGGTGGCAGAGGAGGACGAGGCGGTGGCCGTGGTGGAGGTGGCTTCCGTGGCGGTCGCGGCCGGGGCAGGCGGGGCAACTAGGAACCAACAATTTTGCGTGCCCAATGCCAACCCTTGCAGCTGAGGCATTTATCATGAGCTATGCGTGTTTGTTTGCCTGTCCTAGAGACCCATTATCCACCTATATGTACTACTGCGCGACTGATATATGATGATCCTTGGATGCTTTGCCATCATGTTGTTTCCGCTTTCTGTTATTCGGTTATCACTCGAGCTTGGCGTGAATTGAAGGTGGCGCCCGGCCGGTGCTGGTCTTTTTACGACGGCGAGGTGATGATGATTCTCTGCGGGTGATCACCGGAATTGACCGCTTTCTCCGGGAAGGGAAAAAGAATGGATGCTTTCTTGGCCACTTGTAGGCATATTTATCCGGCTATGCACTAGTGCTGTCTCTCCGTTTGTCTGCTGAATTGCCGGCTTGTTCAGCCACCACTAGGCTACGGGTCGGCCGAATGGCTGGCACTGCTGTTGCTGGATTCTTGGCGGCTCCATGGGAATTCCCTTTACATGGCCATCATCGACCTGTAGCAGCCTTTGGCAACGGTGATTGTCAGTGAAACTCTGCGCATATAGGAAGAAGAAAATAATAATATGCCCGTGTAATATCCTATTCGAACCAGACGTAGCAACTGGGTTTGCTCGGTGACGTGCGTGCTTTAGGTAGGAAAAAAAGTTTGGATGCGCACGAACGGGGTGTGTCCGTGTGTGTGTGTGTGTGGATAAGATCATAAGATCCACATCGAGCTGCTGCGATTGGTCTTTCCTGCTGAAATCAGCGTGCGCCGCTGTCGCCGTCTGCCGGAGCCTTGGAAGCGTGACGGCGTCGCTAGCAAAATCGCTCCGGCAACCCAGTTTAGCTCGTCACCCTCCCCGTGTTCTTAGATACTGTGCGTGGCAAGGGCTATGCTTGACATGGAGAACGATAAGGGCATCTTTGATTCAAAGGGCTTCTATAGGACTTTTAAGGGATTGGAATCCTTATGAATTTTCTCTGTATTGGTCGTTTAATTCATAGGAATTTTTCCAAAAATTGACTTGCAAAACAGTCATTAAAATTTACTTTGATACCTGTAATCTGAGTTTGTGGCCTTGTATAAGGGAATGGAGGGATTCTAGCATCCACCCTTTCCCGCAAAAAAAAAAGCATCCACCCTAACCTTTTGTACGAAATCCTTTATTTTTCCTGTGATACAATCAAACAAACTCAAATCATATAGAAATCCAATGATCATATCATTTCAATCCTATATTTTTCATATTCCCGCATTTTTGCAATCCTGCGAATCAAAGAGGCCCTAACCTTTGCCAAAAGGGTTGATTAGATGTTCATTCCCCTTTTTTGCGATGAATTAGATGTTCGTCTTACAATGCACGCTAAGTCAATTTGCATGCTTGCCCGCAAAAAAAAAGTCGATTTGCATGCAAATTAATCTCTCGAAAGTTGCAGACTTCTCTATTCATGAGAAAAGTGTTTTTAGGATTTTTCTTTTATTTTTACAATATTCATAAAGAGAAGTGGAAGGACAAATAGCGACGTGATGTATCGCCACACACAATCTTTGGCCTATATGAGTATAGGACTTAGCACTCATCTGCGTAGCATATTATTATTTTTGGTACAAGACAACAGTATATTTATAAGAAAACATGTTTTGCATTGTAACCGATGTAACAGTTCAATACTCCCTCCTTTTCGGTTTATTTCGCTCGTCTCACTTTCATACTTTTTTTCATATTGTAAGTCTTTTTTACACTGTTATCCTGTAACATCCACGATGCGGCTATATCTCTCACGTGTCGGGGCATGACTTAGAGGCATAACCGTATTGTAGGCAATGTCGCAAGAGGGGTAATCTTTACACATCCCATGTACTGAATAAGGAAAGAGGTACATAGTTAGCTTACAATCGCCACTTCACACAATAGCATAAATATATCATTACAATCATCCAGATACAATCAAGGTCCGACTACGGAACCAAAATAAAGACAACCCCAAATGCATAATGTCCCCGATCGCCCCAACTAGGCACCACTACTGATCGTCTGGAAAGAAAACGTAGTATCGTCCTGAGTCCTCATCGAACTCCCACTTGAGCTCAGTCGAATCTCCTGGAATGGTATCATCGGTCCCTGCATCTGGTTTTGAAGTAATCTGTGAGTCACGGGGACTCAGCAATCTCACACCCTCGCGATCAAGACTATTTAAGCTTATAGGTAAGGTAAAAGGTATGAGGTGGAGCTGCAACAAGCACTAGCATATATGGTGGCTAACATACGTAAATGAGAGCGAGAAGAGAAGGCAATGGCACGATCGAGAAACTATGATCAAGAAGTGATCCTAGAACAACCTGCGTTCAAGCATTACATGAGACCGTGTTCTTTTCCTGGACTCCGCCGAAAAGAGACCATCACGGCCACACACACTCTGTTGATTCATTTTAATTAAGTTAAGTTTCAGGTTTTCTATAACCGGACATTAACAAATTTCCATCTGACCATAACCGTGGGCACGGCTTTCGAAAGTTCAAAACCCTGCACGGGTGTCCCAACTTAGCATATCACAAGCTCTCACGGTCAACGAAGGATATTCCTTCTCCCAAGACAACCCGATCAGACTCGGAATCCCGGTTACAAGACATCTCGACAATGGTAAAACTAAACCAGCAAAGCCACCCGAATGTGCCGACAAATCCCGATAGGAGCTGCACATATCTCGTTCTCAGGGCACACCGGATGAGCGCTCCGTACAACTAAAACCAAACCTTGAGTTTCCCCAAGGGGGCGCTGCAAAGGGCTCTAGTT